AACGAGCAGACGGGTCACCTGATAGAAAGCGACATGAACGCCCGCAACTCAAGAGTCACAAGCGCGTTGCCAGCCGTGAGGAAGGAGTACGCTCTTTTCTTGAAGGTTTGAAGGTCGTATCGGTCCGGAAATACCGCAGTCAATAACTTGTTCCACAGATTGGTAGAGCGAGGCAAAAAGTGTCTTACAAAGCACACAGTGGTGGAGCGCCAATTATCCAAGTGGTGGGGATGAAAATGTTTGTGGTTAAGCGTAATATCGATTTGTTTAATTATTATAATTATGTAGATAAATATAAAAAAGCAGTTAGGCATGTGCGAGTTTGACTCGAGCACTTATATGTCTGTGTGGTGACGAATTAAGTAAACAAAGTGTCACCACCCCTATTCATCTCGTGGCTGTAGTAACAGCAGTCTAAGGGAGGAAACTACGCTGGACAACAGCACTGCAAAGAGAAGGAAAACTTGACTCAAACCCTATACTGACCCGTCTGGCCAGCGTGGTATAGTAGGCCAAAACCTCCTTTCAAAGGAGCAAGGAGCCTATGTCCAGCAGTGGACTATTAAAGGCTGTCGATGATGATGATGACAAGTCATCATAGTCATTATATATCTGTTTAAATTCGTACCTAGCTTAATAAAAGTAGTCTGTTTACACAAACATTTGCCATGAAAAACAAACTTAACTTTGCCGTTCATGTACAACATTGACTGTGTAGTGATTTTCAAAGCAAAGCATAGTACTTTTTTTTTACAACAATATCATGTCTTTCCCTGGACCTTAAGATTTTTTGTTCATTTTATGAGCTATGGTCGATTAGACAATGTAGTTTAATAAGGTTAGGTAAGGTTATGGAATATATTTCCTTATCTTAACACGTCTTGGACACTTATGCTTTCTTAGGGTTTCTCCTGCCCTCATGATGTCTTTGTTACAATTTTGTAAATAACTTGTATATTATTAGCGATTATATCGCATGTCGAAAGGTCAGTAATAAATAATTATAACATTGCATCATTACGAAACTTCAATTATTGGTAAACCCGACGACTAGCAATAGAGGCTAAGAATTTTAAACATATCTTGGACTCATCAGTAAATTTTCAAATGCAGCAGTAACCTCAGTATTTGATGTGATAAATTTATTGTTCATATTTAAATTAAATTCATTATCATGACTTTAGAACAGTGGACCTTCTAAATTCTAACCCAATGCGGTATCATATTTAAATGACACTCGAGACCAATATAGCATTACGGATAATATTAAGTATAACTTTGCGTCACCGTCTTAACAAAATTCGCAAAACAAAGTTTGAAGGAACCCGCTGCTAAAGTAAATCAAACCTTACTTTCGTGGTTTTTAGAGTTTTATTTATCTTAACGACACTGGATCCTGTATTCTCTATTAAATATAAATATCTCTGAGGAACGTAGTTTTACGCCGATTCAGCGTTATACAAATAATATTAATAAAAAATCTTGTTTGTTTCAACTCCGGAGAAGTTTGTTTTTGAACAACAAAATCTTGGCGATTTCTTTATTGTATCGTATTAAATGCATAAATTACGGGTGCTGGTATCGAGATAGAGTGCTGGAGATGTATGTTAAGAATCCCTTGGACTGCGATACGCACAAATCCCTCAATCCGAACCCAGCTTCCGATCCAACGCCTTATGCCAACAACGCATACGTTAATTTTCTGCCCTACAGTTTCGTGCATCAACAAGAATGACCGATCGTGTCTCAATCTGAACACCATCATGAGATACGCGCTGGACAGGAACCATTGGAGAGAGATCCGCTCCAGCTGCAACCCTGATGCTTATCGCGATTCTCAGGCATGAGGGACCGGCCAGAGAGAGATACACAATGACGAAATATAAGGACACCTGCGCTTATATTTCGCCATAGAATATAATAACTTATACAGGAAAAATGTTTTCTTCTACTAGCCTTATTGTTTAAACATCATCATCATCATCATCAACAGCCTTTAATAGTCCACTGCTGGACATAGGCCTCACCTTAGAAAGGAGGTTTTGGCCTAAACAATTAATTATATATTTTAGAACATGTCTTACATATGAAATGTGCTATAAACAGGTATGGTCATATAAAGACCCATAAACTGCCAACAATTGAATGAAAATTCAAAGTTTTTGATACATAACTAACAAATTTATTCAAGAAAGGAACATTTCGTAAGAGAAAGTGAACATTAATGAGACTTTGGGATCAAATATGACTTTTTTTGCTATCAAAGGGTATGTAATTATATATTAGCTTCACTTTTAACTTACTAACATCAAGGATATTGATGGAATGCCAACATTTTGTTGAAAATGATCGCATATAAGAAAAAAAGTTTTAGAAATTGACTTGCTATGATCAATATGCACTTGCTTCAGAAAAAAAGAATATTAAAAAAAAAAAATGTTAAGTGGATGGAACTAAATCGGATGAAATATTACCAGCGTGAAGTCGGTACGAGTAAATATTCAAATTCTTTTTTTATTTAAAGGCAACTCCCGCACGACACTAAGTGTTGTCCCATGTGGGGATCGAACCCACAACAGTCAGCGTAGTAGGCAGCGACGAGGTGACCGCTTAAACCACTACGCTATCTGTGTAGTCAATTCAATTAGAATATTTAATCTTTTAGCGCTTGAAATTGAGCTATTTATTCGTTGAATTTTACTCAATGACTGTGCTACCAGACCCAGACTCCTCTTTCCAAATTAGGGAAACGGAACTGAAAAATCGGCAACCCTCTTGTAACTTTTAAGTAGCAGGTATCCATTAGTGACCGCTGTAAACGACCCGAGACAGATGACACTCCGGTGCGGCCGGGGGCTGTCGTCTAAGGCGGAATGCTGTTGCGCCTTTTACTCTGTAGAACAGTGAGAGTCGCGGTAGCGTCCTGCCCCAGGGTGACTACGATCACTCCGGGATGTGCCTCAGACATGAGGTACGGCAGGGAGGATTCCAGAAGTCGCCGATGCGTTGGAGCTCCTCCCGACTGCCGAGGTAGGCCGCCGCGGGGTTTAGTGGGTAGACCGGTTCTCCGGGAGTCCCACACACGCCCTACGTTTCCCCAACGGAGGGTATGGCGCGAAAAGCATTTCCCACGTGTAAAAAAAAAGAGACGTATCCATTAGTAGTCTCTTATTAAGGCTCGTTTGCCCCTATGCCATAGAAAAGAGTTTTTCACGAAATCTGGTATGAAAACTACACCTCAAGCAAGTCTAAACATAAAAAATGTAAAGAGTATTCTTTTTTTTTAGTATCATATAGATATGGTCAATGATATTACATACAAACCAGAGGTAGATGCCGTTGGAGACCAACGCACAAAACGCGAGGGTCCTAATTAGGACCACTGCGAGCGAGCGCACGTACTAATTAATTCGAGAAAATTCATAAAATACCTTCCAGTGTAATCCGAAAGTGCACAAATTACGACAAAAAGGTAAGTAAAGATGAAGAAATATCATACGGCAGTGTATAAGTGTATGTTTTATTATAAAATACTGCACGGAAGGCGTAGTGGTTTAAGCGGTCACCTCACCGCTTCCTACTGCGCTAAGTGTTGTGGGTAAGATCCCCACATGGGACAACACTTTGTGTGTTTCACAAATTGTTTTTCTGAGTCTGGGTGTTCTTGGTGTCCATTTAATGTATATTTGTAAAGTCTCCGCGACACAGGATATATTCCTAGTGCTATAGTTGTCTTTTAAAAAAGAAAAGAAAAAAATCAGAATGAATATAACGTATTTTTCTTAAAATATCATTGGATATATATCCATTTGTCCCTACATAGTATTTTACCTGAGCATATAACAATCCTGAACTAATAATTTCATTACCTGAGCAGTTCGTAAGGTCACATGTTTACCCTTCTAATTCAGAGGACCGTAAATTATCCTCGTGGATGCTTTGAAGGAACTTTCCTAATCAACAAATAGAAACTTAGTACAGTCTGTTAGTTTATTGTGTGTGATTATGATATTAAGATTTCCCTAGACTTTAGGCCAACAACAGTTGACTCATATTAATCGTATTTGGTATAAATTGTTGTATTTGTATATTTGTTACTATGCTGTGTGACTTCGTCTGCGATTAGTATTGATAATAATAATTTAACACATTTCACACACGGCCGTAAGATCTCAAATTAGACAGGACATGTACTATGGTAACCAGACTGCTGATAAATATACTTTTACAGTATGTCTATGAAAATGAGACACCAGCTTTAAACACGAAAGAATTAAAAAAGTATTCTGTTTCAAAGTTGAATGACCGTTTCGATTTTCAGATATTATCGCTGTTATTTCGTTAACGTGTAAAAACATTACAGACAGATAAAGTTACTTTTGGATCGATGACCTTTTCAAGCCTACTAGTTGTGGTTTAGTGAGAAATTTTTGTCAAAGTATTGATGTTTGATAAAAGTTACACAAAAACAAATATGTAAGGAAAATATTTCAATTTAATCCTTTCGGTTTCATATTTAACTCTATTTTTCGTATCCTCGAATTCGGACAGACTTATTTACATAATGCCTACTAACGCATTATGTAAATCCAGAATCCTTATTCCTTATCCAGAATTATGTAACTTTCAGGAACTTTATTTTGCTAAATATTGCTTGCTTGTTAGCTCTGGTAACTCGACTTGGACTTTTTTGGCATTCAATGAACGGTGCAGTCATAAAAATTGATAATGGTGATGTGAACGTAGCCAAAATTGTCTTATAATGAGGGAATTCCACAATAATTTATTAAACTTAGTATGCCTAACAACCAAGAACAGCTATCCTGGTATTTTATTTCGATTTTCTTCTCAGCAGTCCCGAATATTTACGTTCTAAATAAGTAGTAATAAAGGAACCATGTATCATGTTTACTTAAGCTATAATAGCCACAGATTATAAACGAAAGTTATGTAATCTCCTTTTATAATCTACCGTTTTAATTGATAATTATATTACTTACCTTAAACCAAGCCATGGTGGAGTCATCGTACAATACCACCCATTCTTCAGACCAGGAGTTCCAGAGGTATTTACCTGTAATAAAATTAATTTTAGATTTTATTATTTCATGAATATTCATAAGATTTAGGCAAATAGAAAACGCTTTTTTTTAACCATATAGTAGTTTTTTTACCGTACCTCTTTTGCGCCATTTGATTCCTTCAGAATCAGGAGAAGGGGGGGGGGGGGGGTTCGGCAGCCTCACTCACTCAGTGAAAAGCAACGGTTTTCCTGCCTTATTCCGTCAACACGTTACACGTGTCAAAGATAAAAACAACTGTATCAACTCACTCGACTGTAATCGATTTCACATTCTTCCACCGTCGTAAAATTTATAAGTTTGTTTTCTGAACGAACGTAAAAGAGCTACGAATGCGATGAAACCTTTTTATAGTAAAAGTCCCGTCGTGCGATACCTTAATGACAGACTTTATCGACGAATATAAGTTTGATTACATCAGATTAGTTGTAATCAGTTTTAGGGAAAGGAATTATTTGAATTACACATATAACCACGGTTAACTTTACAAAAACTTGTTTAAATTACCATCGTGAATAATAACTTTATTCTTTTCGCAGTTTTAGGAAGTCGGTTAACATAATCCACTAGTCCACGGCTGGACGTATGCCTTTCCTTAGAAAGGAGGTTTTGGCCTACTATTCCACGGGGGTATGGGGTATGGGGTTTGTTTAATGTTTTGGGCCAAAGAGGCGGTGAGCTGTGGCGGCGTACTGTTGGGGTGCCAGAGTACCTTAGGCGGCTGGTGGCAGATTATTTAGAGGAGCGTAGCCGTACACGAGTACGAGCACCGAGATGGTAATCTGAAGTATCGGCACATGTCGTGCGGTGTTCTGCAGGGGTCTGTACTTTGACCCCTTCTATGCAACATAGGGTACGACTGATTCCTTCCAACTGATTTTTTCACCAAAGCTGGTCGGCGCTGCGTCTGCCCTTGGACGACTTTTGCCTCATCCCGGCCCGGGAAGATAGGGCGGTGGAGGCGCGCTTACCAGAGACTCATGCTGCCCTGAGTGTGGTCGCTGGTGGACGGCACGGGTTTTCCCCTCCACCCGCCATAACGGCCAACCGCGAGGAGAGAATGAGAAGGAGGAGAGAGAATAAATAGAGAATGTACCCGTAGGTGGTGCCCGCGCCATTGCGGGCAGGCGCTAGGAAAGATCCGGATGTCTCAATAACAGCAGTTGCCGGATCCCTCCTACTACACATCGTATGGTTTTAGTTCTCATTCTCTTTGCAGTACTGTTGTCCTGCGTAGTTTGCTTCTTTAGTCGGCTCTTACTTCACCCACAAGATGAATAGAGGTGGTGACACTCCGTATTCTTAATTTGTCGCCACACGGATATTTAGTTTTTTTTAAATTATCTAAATATTTTTTATCATTATCTGATAATATTGAAGAGATTCTTGTTCGTGGCTTCTATAACTAGCAGCTCTGAACAGTTCCATGGTAACTGCGTCGTTGCTAAGGTTTGTTGCGTGATATTACAAGGCTAATAACCTTTCTCAATTAACAATCTTCCTAACACAAAAATAAATATTAAAATCGGATTATTAGTTAAAATGATCAAGTTAAAAGGATTAATCCGATTTAAACAAATAAGTGTTCAGCTTCATTACACTTCAGATTTTTTTTTATTATTTCAGTTCTACATTTTTATTCTTGTAACCATGGAGTATACAGACTGAGGATTTTTGAATTGAAAACTTCTTTAAGCGCGTTAGGCATTTTTGAGTAACAAACAAAATAATGTTATAGAAGTGAAAACTTCTTTAGCGGCGTTGTACACTTTTTTTGTAATGGGTAAAAAATGTTAAACTCGCGTCAGGACACATGACCTGAAAATTTGTAAGACGGATGGAGAGTAGACAGCCGGCGCGGCGTAGGAGAGGAAGTATCCCCCTCTCTTTCTACGGCGCGGCGAAAATGTATGTCTGCGCCTGCTGTTTCGTTTAGGCGGCGCAGGGCACTTGCGCGAATGTTCGTGTGTGTTTATGTTACAGCGTGCCACGCGCATCCATGGATGGTGACAGCGTCTCGATAAATTGTCATGTTTGTATACGATAGCGCAATAAATAAATATTGTATTATACCACATAAAGGATAGTAGTTTTATACTGATAATTAAAGCAATTCGTGTAAAATTATTCCCTAACCATTCCAAAATATCAAAAATGCACAACGTTAATATTCAAGTTTTCACTTCTGCGGGCACTCCCGGAGTTCAACCCGTCGTATATTTTTTTGTTATTATTCACAACTCTTTTTTATTTGTGTCCGTTTCATGTATCTTTGTAAAGACCCCCGCGACACAGGAAACTTTTTTTTCGTTAATTTAGGAGTTTGATTATTTTACAGCTTCAAGGGACCGTAGACCTGAGTAACACATTCAAATTCAAATTCAAATTATTTATTTTGCAGAAAACACTGTTACAATGGTGTTAACATAGTTTTAATTTCAACTCGATCCCGAGATCTTAACAGATGGACGGATAACAAAGTGATCCTATAGGGGTTCCGTCTTTTTTCCTTTTGAGGTGCGGAACCGTAAAAAAAGAAATTCAATATTATATACCCAAACGTCTGATCAAATTATGATTTGCTAAACAATAATCTAATTAATAGTTGTTGCCACAGTGTTACTAGTGTAAATATCAATCTGTCAAATTTCTTGGCCAAGCTTTAAAATCTACATTATTATCATATTACGTACACGCGTATGAGATTTGTGGTTAGTGATACTACCTACTAAGCAGAGATCGTACAATGGACTTGTGTCTGTACATCATGATATAAAGTACCAGTGTATACTGGTCATAACCGCTAGCTTTTCTATACAGAACATAATGAAAGATTCTAGAGGCAATGACCTAGAACAGAGAGGGTTTTGAGAGTTAATCCTAAGCATTGCGACGGATTTGAGAGCACTGAGCGCTAGAGATTCAATTTCGTCTGAGACAAACACTAGTCCCTAGATAAAGGCGAGTATAATACTCTGCTTCTGTGAGACAAAAAAAATGTATAAAAATATTTACTTAATAAAAGATAGTTAGGATTGCTCATGGATTTAATATTTTATTTGTTTTTATCTTCGCCCCGCGATGTTACCCGCGGTTTAGTAATAATAATAATTCTTCATATTCTTCTCACAATCACCAATCAGTACAATATTAACTTACATCAATAACTAACATTAGAAACTACAGTAATTGTGAGAGGACTGGTGTCTGAATTAGGCATGAGCCTGTAGCTCAGATCACCAGGCACTCACCCTTCTTTAACATTTCTTTGCTGTCAATACATTATTAACGCAAATCAAGGAAATACATTTAAAGTTCAGGGAAGATAAAAATCATAAGGATATATGAATACGACATACACAATAAAAGAAAAGGAGAAATAGACAACATGCCGGATACCTCAAAGTATGTTTTGCGTGTGTGTGAATGTTTGAATGTATGAGTATATATACCTGTCTGTAGTGCGCTAATAGTGTAAGATAATGTGTTAGTATAGTAAATTTATGAGTTAATTTGTTTGAAATTTAAGTTGGTACCTAATCACCCGTGCTTAATATTTATCAGATTCTTTTTCATCCCACGGGCAAATTACATTTTTTGTGATAAAAAGGTAACCTCTGTGTTAATCCAGAGCGTCAGCTACCTCAATACCAAATTTTATCAAAATTGATCCTACCGTTTGAACGTGAAGACGTAACAAACATACAAACACATACACTCACAAACGTGTGTGCGTTTACGTTCATATGATTTCTGTTACGTTCATATGATTTCTGTAACGTTCATATGATTGCTGTTACGTTCATATGATTTCTGTTACGTTCATATGTTTCTGTTACGTTAGCTTAGAAATATCATGAAAAAAATATACAGCTACATTGTTTGACATTTGTTTTGAGAATACATTCTAAAAGTACACATCTAGAACTTAAAGCTTGATGCTTTTAAGAAATTGTATTTTAGTATAACACTATAAATATTTATTTAAAGCATTTGTATCTTCTGTCTTCGTGATAATGTTTTTGTATATGTTCTGTACAATTCGGTTTTATACAGTTCGGATCCAAATAATAATAATTTCACACATCTCACACACGGCCGTCTGATCCCAAACTAGGCAGAGCCTGTACTATGGTAATCATAAAAAAATATATAAAAAAAAACATTTTTATTTTCAACTTTATCTTTTCTTCTTCTTCTTCCCTGAAGTGATTAATTTGTGTCGATTTACTCATGTTACAAGCTTAAGGAATTCCATGTTTGAAATAAATTAAAAAATATTTTGTTATTGAAGCGAAATAGAATAAGCAACAGTATAAAAAAAGAAAGAAGAAAGAATAATAAATTAAAGATTGTAATCACCAAGTTACAACAAAATCACATTTGAATCAGTTACTTTAGGTGTGGTTTACATGATACGTATTTATTTTACGAGCAATTAAAACGACTTTTATACAAAATTTTCAAAAACAAAATTTACATGTTTTGGCCGAGTACATCCTTTGTACCATGCCATGTTTAGCCTCTCTTTAAAAAAGAGGTTTTGGCCTACTTTACCACGCTGCCAGGCGGGTTGGTATAGGGTTTGTTTCAAGTTTTCCTTCTCTTCTCAGTGCTGTTGTCCTGCATAGTTAGTACCCTTAGTCGGCTCTTACGACACCCACGGGATTAATAGGGATGTTGATACACCGTATTCTTAATCCGTCACAATGTTTTACAATCCACCACTTAATATCTACATTCTCGAGGTATTATTCACAGGCTACTCTCAAATCTTGAGAGGCGAAGTTTTACGAGATCACAATAAACAACTCCGCCCCGATATCTGCCATTATATAGAAGCGATTTATCCAAAGTTTTTCAGCAAAACAAGTTAATAATTTGTCTTTGTTCGTGTTATTGTAGTTCCAGAATTTTCTCCGTTACTCCCGTTAGTTAGAACGAGAATGAGTTTTTAGAAGAATGACACATTCTAGGGAGTCGGGAGTTACTAACTTTGTAAGTACACGTGTACAACTTTTATTTTAATACTTCTATAAACTACACTGGCTTTTATCGTGTTGTTCTAGTGGTTAGTCATTCTAACTACTAAGCTAGAGGTCGTGGGTTCGATTCCTACCATGTGAAAATAATTGTGAGATGAGAATGATAATTTCTTCTGTGTCTGTAAATAAAAAAAAGCCGTGTGGTGTCGTGGGACACCCGATAGGAACGAAATTGTGACGATCGAGTAAAACTGATTCGACACGATTTTAATTACAACGCCATCTATAAAAGCGGCTATTACCTACATATTTTTCAGTTGGTTTCTAATTAAAACAATTTATACATTGGTAAAATCTCCTTGAGAAATGATTTCCTACCTATTCGATAGATGGCGCTGAATGACTGACAAGTGACAGTTCGAAATAAATACCGAGACAAAAGTAATGATTTCCTATCTATTCGATAGATGGCGCTGAATGACTGACATAAAAAGTGTCGTTACAACTTTTCGTGAGATTTTTTTCCGTCTAGCCCCCTACTACTAGCCCTTTCACAACGCGCGATAAGGAACTTCGTTCCAAAGAAATTATCTCTTTTATGTACGTATTTAAAAAAATATTAGCATGTTTATCAGCAGTCTGTTTATCATGGTACAGGCTCTGCCTAGTTTGGTATTAGACGGCTGTGTGAGATATGTAAAAAAAAAATAAGTTTTTATATGTATTCAAAATAATACCGCACTATCTAAAAGTACAGTCTTAAAGTAGAATAGAATAGAATAGAATATACTTTATTGTACACCAATTACAGTAAGTTCGTTAAATATTACAGATGGATATGTACAATGGGCGGCCTTATTGCTAATAGCAATCTCTTACAGGCAACCTTTGGATGGACAAATCGACAGTGAGAAGAAACAGTGGGTAGTCTAGGTGTATTTCAGCTAAAGTAGTGTTAAAATAAATAAATATACATTATACAATTATACATACGCATACATACAAATACATATACAATATAAGCACAAGCATATTGATAACCATAAAAACATTAGTCATGTACAGTTATTAGAAGCAAAGGGTACCATGAACTATGAACTCAAATAGTGAACTTCGACCATATTTTTAAATGCCGTCAGTGTTCGGGCACTTCTTATAGATATCGGCAAGGCGTTCCATAATCTGACAGCCTGCACCGTGAAAGATTTGTCATAGAATATGGTAGTGTGGCTAGGTACCATTAACTCCAAAGATTTCGACGACGTTGAGGATCTCAAATGTGTGTCACTGAGGAACACAAAACGTTCCTTTAAGTGAGGAAGGGTTAATGGATTGAATAAAATACTATAAAGTATAGAAAGAAAATGTGTATTCCGTCGAAGTCGAATTGGGAGCCACTTGAGTAATTTATGAAATTGAGTCACATTATCATATTTGCGTAAACCAAATATAAATCGAATGCAGAAGTTTTGAAGGCGCTCAAGTTTATCAAGTTGCTCCTCAGTGATATCGAGATAGCTGACATCAGCGTAATCGAGTATAGGGAGAAACAGGGATTCAGCTAGCGCAATTTTAGTGACCGTTGGTTCCTACCTAAGCTTAGGTAAAACTTAATATTTACTGCTGGATATAGGCCTCTCCTTAAAAAGGCGGTTTTGCCTACTATACCACGCTGGCCAGACGGGTTGGTATAAAATTTGTGTCAAGTTTTCTCTTTGCAGTGCTGTTGTTCTGCGTAGTTTGCTCCCTAAGTCGGCTCTTACGACACAGATAAATAGGGGTGGTGACACTTTGTATTCTTAATTCGTCACCACACGGATACTATTAATATTTACCATGTAAAACTTACTTTATTTAATAACGTAAAATTGGTAAATTTTAAATGTAATTCTTAAGATTTTCTAGGTTTCTACGTAATAAATATTACTTACGTTTATATCGCAGCATGTAACCACCCTTGACTTGTATAGCATTGTGATCTGAAACAACGACATCAAGTATTATATAAAAGTTCAATATCAATTCTTCCATAATTATATATATTATAAAGTGAAAGTGAGTTGTTTTTTTTGTTTGTTTCTTTGTTATCTGATACACAACGCAATCAAGTTTTTAACTAAGCAGAGATTGTACTATGAAAACTAGATTGACTGATAGAATACATATATATCTTTTTGTGTAAATACATACATATTTTAAACATCCAAACTCCAAAACAAATATTTGCAGATTATCCAAACATTTGAGGCGACACGGGAATCGACCCCGAGACATCAGCACAACAGTCGCATTCGCTACCACTGCACAACCGAGGCAGCCAATATTTCATAAAAATTCACCAAAAGTATATTAACATCTGAAGCGCATTTAAAGAAGTCGACCTATTTCTGAGAAAAAATACCTGCCTTGTTAAAAATAAGGTATTTTTTCAAACTATGGTAGCTATGTATGTAGTAAGTATGCGGTCGAAATCCTGTTCATGACATTTTTAACTAACGGAAGGGAGAATACACAATAATATTGCACTCTCTGAAATTAAAACAGTTTAACCTGCCACCAGCATAGAAAACTTCTCTATTTTATTTTCTGTAACAGTGTAGTGGAGCGCAAACAAACAACATAATATGCAGGATAGATTTTAAATTAAAATTGAAAACAAAATACGAAAACAATCGCGTTCAGTAAAACTTTATTGATATATCCATACTTATTATATATTATCAATGTTAAAACGAGTTTGTTTGTTAATTTGCTACGCTTTCACGACTAACCTAAGCCACTAAACCGATTTAAAAAATTCTTATAAAATTAAAAAATTCATCGAGAAACATAGGCTACTTTTACCGCGACAACCGACACATTTCATCGGTATTTTATAGCTTTAAATTTATTTAGATCCATCATATTGTATTGTTTGGAATTCAATAATGTTTCTAAGTTAAAAAAGATTCTTCATTCCTAATAAAAATTTAGTCAATTACTTGAGAACAATAATAACTTCAAGGAATATACATGTTCGTCATTTCACTCAAAAAATGCATCATTGTATTTATTTGCTGGAGGACAAGTTATCTGAATGATTTAGGTAGGTACATATTGAGCTATTCGAGTTTTGAATACATTATAGTGAGTTTACATTTTTAATGTGCGATATCAGTTTCGTAGCTAAGTAATTCATGATAATTCAATAAGGATCAATAACGTACAAAATTAAAAATATAAATCCATAATAAATTGATAACTATTTTCTGTGTTAAAATATTTATTTATAAATCAGAAAAAATATATGTACATGTATAAATAGAAAATAAAATTAAGTTTTTCAAAGTACTAGTTTTATTTCCTACGACTTTTACAAGGGACTGTTAAAAACAGCTGCACGATCAATCATCAACAGCCTTTACTAGTCCACTACTAGACATAGGGCTCTCCTTAGAAAGAAGGTTTTGGCCTACTGTGCATGACCTACTGTACACTATACGACCTACTTTATAAAAATAGCAACATGCTAAATTAATAAAAATTGCTTCTAAATAAATACAATATTTTTAAATGGTCGAAATCACAATTATATCCATTTTATGACCAAATGCCTCAAGTACTATTTTGATTTAATTTATATTGTGTTAGAACTTTAATTCCCGCGAGGAAAACCGCAGACTTATTGCCAGTAATAAAATTAGGAGCCCTTCCAAACAAATATTTAGAGCTGACAAATAGAATTTTAAAAGCGAGCCCGAAGCAGCAGCCTTCGGGAATATCAACAAAAACAGTTATTTGTGGTAAACAGGAAAATACCGGCCGAGAGGAACTGATACCGCGCTGACTCGAATACAGAATAATAAGATTAATGGCCCTCTACACTAGCTGTAAGAACGAAAACCGATGTAAGAACGGTCCACTGAACATTTAAAAATATTGCTGTTGAGAAAGTGAAGAAAATGCTGCATATAGTATATGAGAAAAATAAGTCTTAATATTATGGCCGTAAGAATTATTATTCATAAGCATACTTATGCCATAATATACACCGATACATAACGTAATAATATTATTTTGAAGACTACTACTGCGGGTACTGGGATTTTGATCGTTATGGTTCCTAAATATCTCTATTTGAAATTAAAAGCAACTTAAAAGAATAACAGACCTGTAGATCTTGGCTACTAAATTCGAATTTGAACTGCTAGTATTTTTCACAGACTATGTCAGTTGGGACACACATAAGAGTTCTTAAGCACGTTAAGCTCAGTAAACGATGCATTTGTCTAAAAAGGGGTAAATTCCAGAGTAAAATTATACCTACTGTGGGGGAACGGGTGCCGTGTAATTCCAACACAAAGGGAGGATCCTCCGACCAGGCGAGGTGATCATTTCTGCTAATCGGCGAGGGAATTCTTTATATCACGATACAGGATTAGCAATTCTTATTTTAGTAGTTACTCCGTAGTTCGGTGTGTCTTCATTAGATGGCGTTGTAGTATGTTTCTGTTTGTTGTATGTGGGAGTCGCCACATCACTCCCCTCCAAGACCGGAGGTCGATATATGATGAGTCAGCTGTCTATGCTCTGTTGTGGAGCGTGCCAGTGCCAGTAGTGAGTAGTTCCAGTGAGTCGGAACTGAGTGCCGCTAGTTCCAGTGGGTCGGAACTGAGTGCCGCTAGCTCCAGTGAGTCGGGGCTGAAGTCCGCTGATCCCAGTGAGTCGGGATGGCGTGCGGTGCGCGGTGCTGCGGTGAAGTCTCCAGTGAGTCGGGGCGATTGCTGCGTAGTGGCTGGCTGCTGCGTAGACGGGAGAGAAAATGCTCTTCTTACGTGGACCGTAGGTGCGGTGTGCTGTGCCTAGACGCTGATGAGGCCGTAGAGGTAACCAGGCTGGAGCGGTCGCTACCTGCGTGTGGTATCCCTGTAGAGGCCGAGGTTGCTGGCTGGCTGAGACTTGATTACTGCTCATCGCTGTGGGAGTGTACACGATGGTGCTGCTGATGATCTGCTCCTTTTGAAGGCTGCTTCCAATCACGTCGGGGGTCACCACTGTGGAGGAACGGGTGCCATGTCCCTCCAACACAAAGGGAGGATCCTCCGACCAGGCGAGGTGATCATGCCTGCCGGGCCGCGGCCCAACGGTTGATGTTGGGAAGTTGTATATACGCTAATCGGCGAGGGAATTCTTTATATCGCGATACAGGATTAGCAATTCTTATTTTAGTAGTTACTCCGTAGTTCGGTGTGTCTTCATTAGATGGCGTTGTAGTATGTTTCTGTTTGTTGTATGTGGGAGTCGCCACACCTACGATGAACAGTCGCAGACTGGCTTTCACCTTGTAGGATAATTTGTGCGTCAGATGTTCTTAAAAACCCATTATTTTTTATTTTAGAGGACGGGTCACCTGATGGAAAGTGATCATTGCCGCCCATGAACGTCTGCAACTCAGGAGTCACAAACGCGTTGCCGGCCTTTTAGAAAGGAGTACGCTCTCTTCTTGAAGGTTTGAAGATGCTTGTGCGAGGCAAAAAGTGTCTCGAAAAGCGCACAGTAGTGGGGCGCCAAACATCCAATATTAGCCATAGCAAGTCTCGATATCTACCGATCGTTGTCTAGTACTGTGATAAGAGCTTGGTATCTTATTTAGTAAGTAGACACATATATTAGACTGCATGTGTGATTAGGAGAGCGTAATCTTTGCTTTTTTTTTTGTACGTTTAGATCTTTTAAATTAAACAACGGATTTTAATGCCGTTTTCACCAATAAAGAGAGTGATTCAAGGGGAAGATATATTCATATACTATAGATTTCAAAGATTGAATATGCTTTTGTGCGCTTACATTGTAAACGCAAACAAAAAACCTTACGAGATAGATCATAATAATGTACTACGGAATTGTGTATATTAAAAAGATTTATCAAAAAGTCCATGATGGTATATGTTTATCTCATAAAGATAACCCACAGTAAGCATTTTTATCTTGTAACATATTACAAAAAATAATGAATGATTTACAAAGCTATTTCGAATTTATTTACAATACAGTATTATTCCTTATCCAAATAAATACGTTTGATACGTTGTACATTTAATACAAATCAAAATTGCCTTATACAGTATACGAGTACATATATAAGTAAATGTCTTAGTAGATATTAGAGATCTAAAATACGGGACAACGCGGGTCGTGCCGTACGTCCGTCCCGAGTGAAGGCGGCCAGCAAAAGCGCAGCGGGCCTATAAAAATTGCATAATATAAAGATGTCCTGTGGTATGGTCTTATCATAATAATAGTACTCGTATAATTAATTACTCTACATTGACACCACATTAGTAGTAGTAGTATCTACATTGCACCCGTGCGTTTATTTTTAAGATTTTTGTAGGTCGGTCAGTCTTCTTATTTCGATTAATCTCATTCACTGGCAGATAGCTAATATTATATAAGGAGCATCTGAGGTTACTTTTATTTGAGATAAAATAAGTACACACAAGGTACATATATCTAATATGTACCCAAATGCAAGCGAAGCCGCGGCCAGCACAGCTCTTTGAAATATTTTTTATTAGTACATGTGAGAGAGTTTTAATTCAAATGATGTGTCAATGAAACCCATCTGTTCTACTATTCATTGAGCTGTCTCAAAGAGATCCTAATCAACACGTGAAAACAAGAACTGGTTATTAACATGGTTATTAACTTTTTAAAACGTACAAATATTTGGGTTTAACACTCAATCTCTTCAAATGGATTTATACGGATGGGACGCATTACCACAAATATGAATGTATATATTTATTTAACCGAATACATCTGTACTCAATTCCGCATGTCTCTGCTAATGAGCAGGGTCCTCTACAACCATGGCAGACCGCAGAGATTAATCAGCCCCGTCGTCAATCATTGTTATAATTCATATGTATTACGTGTAGGTACATACCGTTTAAATCCTCATCTGTTAGGTATTTTTCAAGGTAAATCTCACGTACAT